GGTCTATTTCAGCCTTCATGCTAGGGAGAATTTGTTGAGCTGTGATGTGTGTGTGTGTGTAGATAAAGATGAAATAATTCCCAGTGAGATCCAGTGATACCTTGATACTCGACTGCTTTGAAACTCATCAAATTTGGTACTCAAATGCATTTTGACGTGAGAATTTCGTCCAGATGCTTGACATTTGTTTGGTACTCAATGCACAAACTAGAACTTTTCAGTGTCGGCTGCTTTGTGACTCACTACATTATTCCTTGTGGGAAAAATCTGTTTTTGGTACTCATTGTTATGGTAGTCAACGCACCTCCCGGAATCAATTAATGATGAATATTGAGGTACCACTGTACATCAGCTTTATTTGTCCTATATAATAACCACATTTTCCTGATCAACAGACCGAGTTGGCTGAGCCCTTCTATCATCCATGAAAGCTCAAGAACCAAGTGAGCAACTCGTGGTTGCAGGCTTGCGGGGGGCGGGGGGGGGGCTCCTGCAACTTTCTTGCCCCCAAGTTCTAACCTACTGCTAAACCCAAAAGTGGGGTGGGTGGGAATCACAATTGCTGTGTTTACAAATTGTGCAATCCTCAATCAAATAAAGTCACTTTAGGGTTTAACTGCCCAGGGCTAAGGCCCTAGGGATGTTTTCCCACAGCACCCTGAACTGGGAACTAGCCTATCCCTCTTCAGCCTGGCTGGAACATTGCACAACCCACAGCATGGGGGGGGGGGTAGGTGCTGCCCCAAACTTACTTGGCTCTAACCATTTTCAAAACCTCATCCCATTCCTTGTGGCTCCATTCACAAATGCTTAACCACCTGACAAATTAGCTCAAGAGGATTCAGGAGCCATTTTGGGAGGGTGTGTGGTACCAATATTTAAACATTTTATTTACATTTATTCTTATCTCACCTTTATTATATTTATAATGAATGAAAGGCTTCGAACATACCTGCTGCAGGTAGGGCTTGAATTACCACAACTGAGCCCAAAATTTATGTTGCTAAGCAACATATTTAAGTGAGTTTTGACCCACTTTGCGACCTATCTTGACACAGTTAAGTGAATCACTGCAGTTAAGTTAGTAACACCGTTGTTAAGTGAATCTGGTTTCTCCATTGACTTTGCTAGTCACAAGGTCACAAAATCACCTGATCCTGTAATTGTCTGGGACTGCAACTGTCACAAATGAATTAGCTGCCAAGCAGCCCAACTTTGATCACGTGACCATGGGGCTGCAGCCACAACGGCCGTGTGAAACAAGTGGTAACTCACTTTTCTCAGGGCTGTCGTAACTTCAAACGGTCACTAGAATTGTTGTAAGTCAAGGACTACCTGTACTAATTCCTCCCCCTATTTTATCCACAACGACCCAGTTGAGGTGGAGTGGGCTGTGAGAGAACGGCTGGCCAAGCTAACCCAGCAAGCTTTCATGACTAACCAGTCTCTTGGTTTCTAGCCTGATGTCTCACCTGGCTCTCGGATCAGAACTGTCTGATCAAGTCTGCCCTGGCAGCACGGAATTACTTTCAAAAGTCACCCCAGAACTGCAAACTTTGAAAATCCGGTGAATGAAACGGGAAACTGAGTTTAAAAAGTACTTAGAAAAATTACCTTTGTTCCTAACTCAAACAACCAATGAAACTCATTTTAATTTATGGGAGGATAACATCCTATCATTTCATCTATTTTAGGAAGTTACAACACTGCCAAATCTCTAAAGCATAAATCTCTATGCTGGCTGGAGAATTCTGGGAGCTGAAGTCCACAAGTCTTAAAGTTGCCAAGTTTGGAGACCTCTGCTCTAAAATAACAAGGATATAGACACTCATTGAATTGTGAATTTATCAAATGGACCAGCTGCCAAAACCCTCTATAACCCAGGAACCAAAGCTTAACATTTTAAATTGCCAAATCTTTCCATGACCTAGTTTAACAAGTATGTGACTTATAGCCCTGAGTCTCCAGGTCACAGTTTTGAAATCTGAGAATTTGGGTTGCATTTGTTAATTGACTATTTAGTTTGACAAATCAATTGATGATATTTTTTTAGATTTGAGTATTTAAACAAGACCTCCAAAATCAATCAACATTTCTTTAAAATGGTGATTATTTTTAATATAGTAATTACAAAAACTGCAGATGGCAGGGTTTTTTTTAAAAGAGGCATTCACTCTCACACAGGAAATTACATTTGTGTATATATAATAAGATGCACTATCGAAACCCAAAATACGCTTCCCTCTCAAAATTGTTTTATTGATATGCAAATTGTAGGAATTCAACTTGATTTAGCTAATAAATTGCAATTTATTTCACTGAATGAGAGCCTTCCTCCACTCTGAACTAGGCATGTTGCCCATCTTTAGATGTGAGAGGAGTGTTTTTATTTTGTTTCCTGATATAAGAGCCCAGGAAAGCAAATCACCCATCATGAAAGACATACACCCCATTTTTACAAATTCTTTAGATGCCTGGTTTCCTACGTTGTATCTGAATATATCTCTTACAGATCAATGCTATGATAGCACTGTGGTTGAAGAATCCTTAAGATCAGGGGTCTCCAACCTTGGCCACTTTAAAACTTGTGGACTTCGATTCCCAGAATTCCTCAGCCAGTTTTGCCAAAGTTGTGGCCAAGATTGCAGACCCCTGGTCTGCTGGCTGAGGAATTCTGGGAGTTGAAGTCCACAAATCTTCAACTTCTGAGTTGAAGTCCACAAATCTTAAAGTTGCTAAAGTTGGACAGCCCTGCTTTAGAGCAGTGTTTCTCAACTTTGATAACTTTTAAGCTGTGTGGACTTAATATCCGTAATTGCCCAACCACATACAGGTAGTCCTTGACTTATTATAGTTGGGACCAGAGTTTCCACTGTAAGTTTGTAAATTGAGTTATAAGCTGAGTCAAACCCAATTTCACAACCATTTTTAGAATGGTTATTAAGGAAATCACAATTGTTAAGCAAATCCAGTCATTAAATGAATATTTGGCTAGAAATTGAATCCATTCTTCCAAATGAGTGGGGTTTTTTTGTCAAAACCAACAAAAAAAGGTCACAAATTGCCAATAATGTAACTATAGAATACTGCAGTTGGTTGTAAATGTGAGTCAGTTGCCAAGTGCCCAATGGTAACTACGTTTATATGAGGATAGTGGAATGGTCCTAAGTGTGAAGACTTTTTTTCAACACCATAACCATAGTGTACCCAGTGGCATTCTGCACAACACAATGGTAGTGGTGCCATCTTCCACACAGGATGGTATCAAAGGTAACATGTCAGATTAACAAGAGTTGGAAGGGACCTTGTATGTCATCTAGTCCAACCCACCCCCAGCAGCAGACCCTACACCATTTCTGAAAAATGGCAGTCCAATCTCTTCTTGGAAGCCTCCAGTACAGAGGTGGGATGCTGGTATAGCAACCAGTTAAGTGAATAGCAATGCAAAAATTCTTTCCTACTAGGTTACTTTGGGGAGTAACACAGCCGAGGAGCAGCAATCTGCTCTTCTGTGCTGATCAGCTGGTTGTCCGAGCGAACTGTTCACTCCCAGTTGATCTTCGGAGCTAGGGGTTCGTCCGAACCAGCAGAATCCCACTCCTGCTCCCACAACATGTCAGGTGCATCCTCCCCCAGGCCTGGTAAGATGTTGAGTTGTGGCAGTCCCACCGTTTTCTCGCCCTCCTTGTCTTGGCAGAACAAATATTATTATTGTTCTGGCCACATTTTCACATTCAGCCATTATTCTAACAGGCTGAAGCAAATTTAAAAGGGGATGCAGGTGCTGCTTCCTTGCAATTGCCTTCAGGCTGAGAAAGGGCAAAATGAATGGTACAGGCTCCATTCTGGTCCCTCAAGTTAAACTCAGCACTGGCAACTTGACAGACACCTCCAAGTAGTTTTTGCAATAAGAGGGAATCATTGTGCTATTTTCTTATGAGTTTTTTTTTAAAAAAAATCACAATTGAGTCTACAGCCCTGAATTTCGAGTGATTCCCCATCACAGTGGATCTTGCTTAGATGAGAGGATGGCTAGGGCAGATCCATTTCACTAGCTCACTTGGGAAGGTATTTTTGTTTCACTCCAAATTTATATTCCTTTTCCAACTGAGCCTGACCACCCATTTCAGATTAAATTATAGTTGTAGGATCTACAACCACATTGGCTGTTATAATTAGGAAGACCAGCAGAGAGAAAGTGGTCAGGCTATATCCAGTTTCAAACTAGCTTGAACAAAGCACATGAAACCACAAGGCAAGGATTAAGAGATGGTCAACTTAATCTGGAAGTTAGAACTATAAATCACAGCATCCTTCTAACAGCACACAGAAAGCTAAAATACTAGAGCAATAGAAAAGATAAGAGGAGAGATGTGCAAAACAGTTTAAATTTAGAATGGTTCAGCCATTGGGGAAGATCAAAACCAGTTTGACATTTGAATTGGATGTTTTAAATATTTTGTATATTTCATGAATAAAACTTAAAGATCCTCTTTTCTGCTCACCTGATCTGAGACAACTTTTCTTCAATGAAAAAGTAATTCCTGTCTATGGCCATATTAGTACAGCAAATAAAACTTTTCTTCTCATGTCAATGGAGAGATTATTTCATTATCGCTCATGTAATTAGTATGACAAATATGCACCAGTCTTTTCCAGCTGGTGCCCTACAGATGACAAATGCTGGCAACAGATCAAACTTGGAGTGCCACAGAAAGTAGGTTTATGGCAACAGTGCTAACGTTGTGTATTAGAATTGATATAAATGTTGCTGTTTGATACACAAAACTATCCAAAAGATGGAAATTAGGCAAATTGGAAGGAAAAGAGCAGAACTTTGCAGCGTACTCTAAGACAGCTCTGTTGTGTTGTCCTGAATATCAACAGTGAAATGAAAAACTTGAGGCGACAATTACTGACCCATTGTGGAAAAAAGGCATGAAGGAGATTTCCTTTCCTTTTTTGCACCAATGGACTGATTAATCGATGCCGGGAGAAATGTGGGGTCCTTCCTAACAGATTCAGGGTGAGTATTTTTTGCAAGACTTTTGCTCAACCGGAGAGGAGTCCTTTGGGGAGGCCCATTCCCGACTTCCATTTTCCTTGTTTGTAGGGATTGCGGGCTTTGGCCAAGGCCTGCAGCCAGGCCCTGCTGTGGATGATGGGGCGCTTCCTGCGCTTGAACCTGACCCGCAAGTCCCAGGGAGAGAAAGGCAGGTCTGGCGACAGCTGAGCAAGAGGCGGGGCTGAACTTTCAATCAGGAGGCTGTGAGTTCGATCCTAGGTAGAGGCTAATGTTTGGAATTGTCTCCTGCTCCAGCAGGGGGTTGGATTAGATGACCTCCAAGGTCCCTGTTGATTCTTATGATTCTCTCCCAACGCGGCTAGGCCTCGAGGTCTCCATCTTGCCCAAAAAACATTTGGCTTCCGGACCCATCGTGCTGCACCCCGAGGAAATCAGTCTTGTCACGTGTTTCGGGCGGTGGAGGAAGAGGGATGCAGCCCATCTTCCAGGTAAGCAAGGCGAAAAGTGATGGGGGGGGCGTTAGAGTTGCCCCCCCCAAAAGGCACCTGGCTGGCTGGGACGGATAAGTGTTTTAGTCCCCACCCACCGCTATCGCTTGTAAAGTCTGGGCGGGGGGGACTCGATAAGGTTGCAGGTAGTTGGAAGCCCCCCGCCCCCGCAAAAAAATCCCTCCTCCCGTTTACAGAGGGCCTGGGCTGTGGATGATGGGTCTTGGAGTCCCGCGGGGCGGCGCTAACCGCAGGGAACCAAACGGCCTTTCCGAACTGAAGCGGCTTCTCTGGCCTCGGGGGGAGAGAGAGAGAGAGAGAGAGAGACCGAGACCCGCGGGCGCTTTTCTCCCCCTTGTGGAGAAGCCCCCTCAGTCAGGCCGCCCCAGAGACCACCTCCCCTCTGCTTGGCTCGTCTTCAAAATGGCGGCCCAGCGGCAGCCAGCGCATAGAGCCGCTCCCTCCCGGCGCTCCGGACTCTATGATTCCCCTCGCCTTTCCTTTCGGCTCTGCGCCATTCCAACCGCTCCCTTCGGCCGAGCAACGTGACGGGAGAAGGGATGGTGAGCCCAGGGAGCATGCGCGTGTTGCGGGGCGGGGCGAGGGAAGCCGGCCGCGTCACTTCCTCTATTGCGCGGGCCGCCGCCCGGCACCCGACCAATCACCGCGCCGCCTTGCGCTCCTTCCTCCCGCCGTGCTCCCTCCCCCCCTCCCGACTTACCCTCGCCGTTTCCGGCCCCGAGTTCCTTAGTAACAATGGAGCATAAAATGGCCGCTTGAGAGAGCGAAGCGGAGCCAGGAAGGGACGCAGCCGCCGCCGCCGAGCCAGCCAGGCCGAGGAGACGCGTCGGCGGGCGGGAGAAACGGGAAGACGGGACGCAACCACGACGCGGCCTCTGAAGGCGGTACGAGGGGGCGCGGCGGACGGACTCCGGGAGGGCGGCTAAGGAGAGGAGGAAGAGGAAGACGGGGCGGCGGCGCGCGAGAGGCCTGTGGGGGGGAGGAGAAGCGGGGGAGGCTCCCAGGTCGAGCGGCCCCAAGGTCCGAGCGGCCCCAAGGCCCGTCCTCCGCCGAGGGCCGCTGCTCTCCCTCGCGAAGCGGGAGCCTCTCCCGATTCCCCGGACTACAACTCCCATCGCCTCTCGCCGGCGGGGCCTCCGGGACCCGCGGGCAGTGCGGAGGGAGGCCCGCCCTTGGCCCCGCTTCGGGGGTGGGGGCGCTGCGGCGAGCGGCCTAAGTGGCCCGCGCGAGGCCCGGGCCTGGCTTGGCGTTACGACCCGGCCTCCCCAGGCCCTTCTCCGGGCGTCGCAACCCCCGCCTACATCGAGACACCCCCCCGCTTCTCCCGGTGACAGCTGGGTGGAAGGAGACCCCGGGGTGCAAAATCTCGGTCCCCTCCTCCCCCCCCCCCCCCGAGGTTCACTTCCGATGCGAGGGCAAGGCTTGCCTTCTGATGTGTCATGGCTGGCGGTTGAAAGTCACGGCGGCACCGGCAGGAAAATCCCGGGCGGCGGTGGCTCTTCCAGGAAAGCCTCTTTCGGTTGCCGAGGTTCAAGTGGGCTTCTCTCTCCTTTCCTTCCCGCTTTCCCTCCGGCCCGTTTTGGGGGGGGGCGGCAATAAATCCTTGGGCATGATTCAATCCGTGTGTCTCCATAGGGCGTGGTAGAGGCAGGAAGGGGGAAGCGGGGCCTCCTTTATTTTTTCTTCCTTCCTTCCTTCCTTTCCTGGGTCACCCCCCCCCAAATGGCCAGAGGCTATTGGGTTTTTTTGTTCCCTTGGCCTCTTTAAGCCTGGGGGATTTCAATTCCCAGAATTCCCCAGGCAGCTTTCCCCTTTTCTCAACCTTGGCTGGGGGATTCTGGGAGTTGAAGTCCACCAGCCTTAAAGTGGCCAAGGTTGGAGACCTTGAAGGTCTCAAGTGAGGAACACATGGCAGAAGATCATGCCTTAAAAAGGCAAGAAGGGCTTATCTGACATTGGCTCCAACCCACCTAATCAACGCATTGCTGATTCAGCAACCTCCAGATCCCGAGTAGCTCAGACTGGGACAAATCCTGGTTCTCCCCTGCTTTTCTAGGAAAGAGTCTTTACTTCCAGGAAACTAATGGTGGTATGTACACCATACACGTACATACAGAGGAACTACACATCACAATGACAACCCAGTTTAAAATTAGCCAGGATAAAGATCGCAAAGATACATATGTATGGGTGAATGTAAATCAAAATAGGAACCCTCACCCTTAGGCAAGCAAAGCTGGCTGGGGAATTCTGGGAGTTGAAGTCCCCCAGGCTTAAAGTGACCAAGATTGGAGACCCCTGATTTATAGGTTCCAGCGAATCATGTCAGGTTGTAAATTAGAAATAGCCTGTCCCAATTTTTAGAGACAACCATGACCTGGATGGCTGAGAATCTCCATAGACATTTAGCAATAGAAATACTGGTTTAAAATTTGAGTTTGTTTGGTCCAGAAAGGATAGTACTTGGGGCTGTCCTTGGTGCACCAGTGTGGTTTCATCGAATACCAGAAAGACACACTCATAGTGAGTTTATGGTTGTGATCAGGACCCATTCAGATATTTGTCACCCGTAACCAAACAGGAACCACCTAATTTTATTTCTTTGTGCCTTCCTCCTTTCGGGTTTCTGTAATTTGCTCAGTCCAACCACTTGTTAACAATACTATATGATGACAAGAATGTCAATTATACGGACTATGTGCAGGACTAGCTATCTTCAGAATGTAGGTAATTATATAGTAAATGTTGAGTTACTCCTAGTTTTGATGTAGAGAACTTTAAATGGGTTAAGTTACCAGCTGTGCTGAATTCTGCCAAAAGCTCTGGAGTGAGATTCAAGTACTTTAACATGAAAATAATTGGCATTTAAGTCAAATTACATTTGCTTTTAATTGATCAGCTAGACATCATTGTATGTGGTATTTAACTTTTTTTATAGGCAGAATTACCCCAAACAACTTAATTGAAATTTAAGAAGTACATAGAGAGGAACTACATTGCTAGTATCTATCAGTTTGTGTAACATCTGCTCTTTGACATGCAGGGTTCTACTTGTGAGATTAAACCGAACTGTTTCAGAGAAGGTGTTAAATTTGAAAGGGGAGGTGATAGAAATGAGACTTAAAAGGTACTGGGTTGGAGTTCCAGGCATAAGTAACGGGAAGTCAATAGACCAGTAAGGTCACCTCCTCATATAAAATAACCCAATGTTGTAGTCCTGGGGGAGTGAAAGCCATAACTGAGTGAGAAATACTTAAATAAGACTTTGTTTGAAAGGAAAGGCAAGCTTATTCTTTTTTGAAGATTTGGTGATGACTTGCTTTTGGATAATTACCAGGAGTATAGATGGTACATATTGGTACATAGTTAAATGTAATTACTGGTTGGCCATGGAAGTCAACAGTTTGTTATTCCTGTGCTTAATAACTGTTAAGCTTTATTTCTCTCTAGGGGTGTCAGGGCTACTAAGGATGCAGTCTGAATCCCTTCCAAGTTCAGGAAAACTTCACATGAAGAGTTTCAATGTTTTGGTAGACAAATTCGGCTGTCCTATTATTTTTCCAATCAATATGCCATTTTGAAAAAAAAAAAAAACCTAACCTCTGGTACTAAATATACCACAAATGCGTATAAAGTAATGAAAAAAAATAGAAAAATGATTTAAAGAATATTGATTCAACTCTTAATAGTTGATTACATAAAAATGCATTTAAATTCTGAAGTTCAACATTTGGAAAAATTTGTCAACTTAAAACTATTTTAACTAATTTGAAAATAAGAATTGTTGGGCCATCTGTAGCTCCATCTAGCTTGAATGGAAACTACGAGTATTCCAAGGGCACAGTTCTTAGTGCCTCTAGAGATTTCTCTTTTACTCATGCCTACTGCGGTTCTACTTTTAGTCAGAAATACAGTTTAGCCATCTAGTGTTTCTCTCTTGGCTTTTTTGCATTCTCCAGCCTTTGTTAAAAGATTAGAAACCCGTCCAATATTTCCACCTTTTCTCCACACACTCAGTTTTCCATAATTTTATACAATAAAGCTTGCATTCCAGATTCTATCCCTGATTAGTACTTACTATGTTAATTGATAATTGTTTGGCAATTATCAAATATTTGTATAAGATGAGTCATGCTTAAGGCAACAACTGGAGGAAAAAAGACTTCAGCAGGAAATGAATGTTTAGTCCAAGCTTTTAATTATATCTAAAGTTCAAACATTTTCTGGACTCAAAAATGATAATAAAGGAAGAGCATGAGAAAGAGAAGAGGGTTGAGGTGCAAGGTAACATAAGATGATGGTCGGCATTGCCTAACTAACACTTTCTTTACAGTAGTTGAAAGCTTGTGGTAAAATTGCCTAAAATGATAAGTAACATGATCTGAGAAGTGTGGCTTTGCTTTATTTTTTATTCTTCCCAGGTAACTAAAGTGATTAACTTTTGAAAAGTCTGAGAACTACAGTATATGTGGATGTTTACAGGACCTTCTGAAGGTTGGATCTGGTTCAGAATGATAATCTGTTCTAACATAATTTTTTGATGTTGATAAATTTTGTAAGCCTTGATATTCAGTTGGATCACTACTGTCCATCCTAGAAGTTTTTCATATGTGTAGAAAAACTAAAAACTACAAGAGGCAGAAATGCCCCGATTATTTCACAACAAGCTTCAAAAAGAATTTTGGAAGATGTGAAACATTTCTACTGACAGAGTGGTTTTATTTTTTTCAGGCGAGAGATTGGTGTACCACCAATCCTTAATATTTTGTACATGTTCACCCTGGTTGCGCTGAATTAGAGTTGGCTATACAGAATGTGGTCTGTGATCTTGAAAGAAAACTTTCTATCCATTTAAAATCCTGCTGTGACCTTAGTTTCAAAGAAGCTGCCAGGGCTGATTATTATGAGGCTGGGATGAAATTTTTTCACTTTTTGAAAGAATATCCTTGACCTGAAGACCAGTTGCAGGAATTGGGTGT